TTAAAATGTAATTGTTAATATGCACTTTTTAACTTATGATGAAAGAATATTTTTCCGTAGTAGATGAAGCGAGACATAGTAAACCGTCATTGGATACGAATCGCATTCAGGTAAATATCATAGTAATAATTAAAGATAATTAGAAGCCTCGCAATTTTTTATTTTGACTTTATTTTAAGATTTAATTCCCTGATATGAAATAAGTAAAAAATAAGCTACATTTTAACATATATGTCACATCATTAGACGCGTTAGTGAATTTAAATATATCGAATAGAAAATATCGATAAATCAGCCTATAAATATATCGAATAGAAAATGTCGATAAATAGGGTCACTTGTTTGAAGCAATATAATAAATTTTTAGGTATCGTAACCGGTTAAAATTTTTGTGGCGTTACATTAAGTGTTGACAAACATTATAAGAGTTCACTCACTTAATTTTGAACTGGGAACAAATAAATTTTTTTTTTCGAAGTCACTAAAAGTTACCCAATTTTAAGTCGACATTTTGAGTCATTGAAACTGTCGAGTTCTTGGTGAACTGCAGTAATTCCCTTTGTTAGTGCGTAATTATCATTTTTAGAGAACAATGCCGGGGATTTGAAGACATACGGACATACGGACAACAACTAGGGCCATAACGCTGATTCAAGAGGGCCATTCGCAGCGTTCTGTAGCTCTAAAAAGTTCTAAGAAAGAAAAAACCAAAAAGAAAACCTTCAAATGTATCGATATGAAAAAAACCTAATCCCTCCTTACCTAATTTTATCACCCATCTCTACTCTATATAGCTACTATACTATTGTGATTGTGAATCTATTTTCTTCTAGACTCAAAGTTTGTTTGTTATTTATAGAAGTATTAGTACATTGCGGCACTACGCACCACTTGTAGCACACTTTTTAAAGAAAACCAGAGCAGAGGAAAATAAAAAAAGTAAAAAATGCGCACTACGATTTCAATTTCTCTTTTAAATTACTATTTCAATTTACTCTAAGGATGATCGATATTCATCGATGTTGAATAAACATCGATGTTTTAAATTGGATAATATTGGCACATCGATGTTTGGCTCGAAAACATCGATGTGCCGATGCCTGTTTCGAACAAAATGTCAAGATACCCTTTGGGCCATCTAACGTGCTCCAGATGATCTCGTATATCAAGTTCAACTATTTTATACTAGATGTCACCGGTTGCACTTGTAACTGGAGTACGCAAACAAATAATTTTTTCTTTGCTTGCATTTTCCCAGGAAATTAGAAATAAATCTGTCAACTTCAGCGCTCGTTAGTATCTTATAAGTTACTTTATTCACCTTAGATCCGTAGATATTAGGTAGTATTAGATAGTTCCACGTGCGAGTGCGGAATCGAAAAAGTTACCACTGATCCCATCCTCTTCAACTGTCTGAAACAACCTACTTCATATAAGCAACTTCCATCTAAAACCCCCGTCCTATTAACCTTAATACTATATTCTCTATTTCTAACATAGCTATCTTTTTGCGTCTTGTAAACATATTAAAAAATATATAACAATACACTATAATCTACATGGCACTATCATATATTTATTGCGATATTTTTTATTTAATTTATTAGTACAATTTGTGACGTTTGCTTTGTGTTGTACTTTTAGAACAAGGAGGGAAGAAAACTATTAAAAACCGTTTCTCACTATCCCGCAAAATTTCTGTGTAAAACGGAAAAAGGTCATTTATGTATATTAAAATAAATTACTTTATGCTCGTTGGGCTCGTTCTCTCTCCGTGAAATTTCCGCGTGATTTTTTATGACACTGGTCTTATTCCATTACTTTTATGTTAAGTGGTAGAATCCACCTATCCCACATTAAAAAAGATTGCATTCGATGTTTGGGGAACATCGATGGTTTTCATCGAATGTTGACTTCGATGTCAATATTGATGTTTTTCCAATATCGATCATCCCTAATTTACTCTAATGACAGTTGTTACTTATCGATTTGACATATTTACTGGCCTGTGACGTTACGATCAGCGCCATTACATAGAGCAGCGTTTTTCGCGCGCTTTTGACTATTTAAATTTTAACAATTATTTTCACCAAAAATAGAAAAGATTCTAATGAAATATTATGACAGTGTGTTTATAATGTGGCAAACAACGATTTAAAATAGTTTTCAGAAAAGTGTCAAATACCTAAATAAATATCAGAATAGTAAAAATAGTAAGAATAACAAATATCAGAATAGTTTAAGTTTAAATCACAATTATATATTGTGAAATATATAAGCGTGACTAAAATAATAAAGAATACAAATGGAAAATTAGAATTATAAACTGAAAGGGGCAAAACAAATAACATAAGGAATAAAGGTAATATAATATTGTAATATAATATTGTAAATAAGTAATATAATATTGTAATAGTAAATAAGATAATAAAATAGTGTAAAATATGAAACTAAATGTCAAAAGGAAACAAATTAGAAAGAAATAGAAACTAAGTAGCAATAAGTGGAACAAAAAATGTAATAACAATAGTATTAGAATGAAAATTTAGGAATAAGTAGAAAATAAGTAACCTCAAACTTGTAAAGTATAGAAATTATTGGTAACAATTCATGTGAATAAACAACACAAATAGTACAAGATTGTAAACACAAATTATAAAACGTAAACCAATAAACAGAAACTTGTAAAAGAAAGATAAAAACTAGAATAAAATATAAGTAGACTAAATGATGTAATAGATAAGTAAACATTAAAATAATTACGAACATAGAAGTAAGAAGTATAAGTAAGAATGTATATAAAAATAGAACATATAATATAAGAAAGAATTATAAAAACAAATAATTAAAAAACCCAAAAAAAAAAAAAGAAATCCTCATCCTCATCCCTAGAAATAAGAGAATAAATAAAAAAAAATTGATACAGCGTAGTGGAATAGGCGGGTGATCCCCCCGTTAAAGTATAAAAGAAGATGAAAGAATGTGTAGTATGCAGTATGAAAGAATTAGAAACAAATGCGAGAACTGGTTTGTATGAGTAAATTAGAAGGAAAAGGGCCTGCTACTAAGTGAGGGAAACGTAGGCCATATATTGTAAAGCCGGACAATTAAATAAAATAAAAAAAACCTACTAAAGACATGCTAGGAACAAATCCCACAGGAGACAGTACGACACCTGGTGGAGTATGCCTTCGAGGTTTGAAGAATGTATTCAAAAAAGGGGAGGACACACACATTATTGAAAAAATATACATTAAAAAAAATCTTCAGTGTTTTTTTAGACACTTTTTTTCACATTGTGATTTTTAGGTTGAAATGTCGATTTTTCAAAAAAAAAGAAAGTGATGTTAATTTAAGAGTAAAATAAACAATATCTACTGGTCTTTACATTAAAAATTGATTAAATAATTTAACCTAATCATTTGCACATCCCTTAACCCAATATTTTTTTAATCTACCAAAAAATCATGGTGGCCCTTATTTTGTTTTGACTAGTATATGTATATATATGTATACATATATATATATATAATGTCCACTGTTAAAAATATATATACAGGGAGGAACAAAATGACCGACACAGCCGAAAGTTTCAAGTTAGGTTACTGCAAACGTTCATTTTATTTGACAAATATATAAATATAGAGGAGGTGTAAAAATGGAGTAAAAATTTTAAATTTCTAAGTGTTGACAGCCCTTTAACGCGCATGCGCAATATCGATTGTGCGCAGATTACAACGGACCGCGAAATACATTAATTTAATTTAATTATTTACCGATATCTTAATGATAGTCGATGCTGAAAATGTTCAATTCTTCTCTGAAGACAGTTAAGCACACTCTTTTGCATGCCAGTGTATGCACGCGCAAAACACATCACATTTCATACAAAACTAAACACAATCTTCACTAAACTAAACATTCAAGACGAACACTCTAGTATCTTATTAACAACAATTTAATTAAAAATGCACTAGAACAAAACAAAAATCGACAAAAAAGACGCTTCGCAGCGGTGCGTCGGCGGCGATGCGCAACAACACTCCAACGCAAAAGGTCGGCGGCGACTGATCGACCGGACAATACCAACAGAATAATGAAACCGCCTGGCGGCCGGCGGGTGTTCATATTTTTTATTCGTCTTTTGATATCACTCATACAATATATTAACAATTTTTATGGAGAACTTTAAATAAACAATTTTTATGGAGAACTGCTCTTTTAAAATAACGTAGATTAATGTTAGAGTGATCTCTCTACAATAATTTAGGAAATTTTACACTCGGTTGCTTAATTGTGTATGTAAAGTTAAACGTCTCAAACTAAGATCACTTAGTTTTCGTTTCCGATTTGGTTTTTTGATGATCAGTTGATAGTAGTTTGATAAAACTAAGACTATTTGACTTGTGAAATTAAAAAAACTTAAGTTATTGAGAATAAGCAGTAGAAATTTTCTTCTTTTTTCAAATCATAAACCAGCTGTTAGTCTGTAAATCGATTTAAGCATTTTGACTGCCTTGTTTATTGATTGACTGGTAGAATTTGCATGAAAGCAGTCTTATAAATCACAAACTAGTTTATTTCGTTTTTAGAAATGAAGAAGTCAATGACCGATTAAAAACTTTTCCTTAGTACGTCCCAAAAACAGCTGACTCAGGGTTGAAAACACTAATTTTTTCCAAAAACTTTGTAATTTAATATCTCCCTAAACTATTTGACCTAGACTTATAATTTTTTTTACATCATATTAAAGACAAATAGTACTATCCAGGAACCTCGGGAGTGTCGATAATATGCTGTAGACTGTAAGTGTATACTTCCAACATTAGGCACTTCTGTTTTGAATATAATATATAATTTAATAATAATATATTTTTTTAATTACATTTTATTCTTGATGAAATATGTGCTTATTAAAGGTTTATTGATACAACTAACAACATAATTATAAAATGTGACCCATATAGCTGTCAACTTGCATTTCAACACAGGTGACCTCGGTGGGATCTTGGTTTTCAATTGCAATGTCTTCAAAAATTTGTGTATATTATCCATCTAGACAGCAACAAGAAAGAATCGTGGAGATCACAATTTATGTAGAATTATACACTGTTTAGTGTTTTGATTTATGTTTCTTGTCTTTCTTCTTTTCGAGTTTCTCAAGTTTTCTGAAAAATAATAAAAATGTATACACAAAGTTAAAACATTTGAGGAAATGAATTTAGAATTACGTACAAGATTTATTTACCAACATTACAATCCCACCTTGGATACTAGTTACTATATTCTTTTCACATATTTCTCTATGAGATAAACAAAAAACAAATATATGCTTTTTATAAAAAAGTTAAGTTTAAAATAACTGGAAAAAAAATATCTTTGTTGCTTTCTAACATTATTAAAGAAATTGCCTTATATTCCCTGTGTGCACATAGTGCAACAGACAACAGAACAACCTTAAACATCCACACTGTTTGATAATCTATAGATTTCTTTTGTCTATTTGATATTTGGAACAAAATCCTAATGTCGAAAAAAGGTATACAGTTCGCTCCGTTCATTCAAACCGTTAGTGTTGTCTCCCAGAAAAAAATTACCCATGTCAATTTATAGCGAAAAAACGACTCATTGTGCTGGCAACAAATTGGCCAGTGGTTAAATATCGCTATGTTTTAATTTGGCATCAAAAAACGAAATAGCGAATTAACAACTTATTAATGTTTTAACTATAGTCAAGTTAACAAATGGTGAAATGACATTTGACTACAGATCAAAAAACTGGCCCTTAGTCAGTCATGTATACTGTAACAGACATATAGGTGAAAGAATTCTCGTTATCAGATCAATATTTCATAATATTACATCCAACAAAGATAGAAACTTAACCTCTTTTTAATATTTATAGATAGATAACTTATAAGTCTCTAAACTTTTCTAGTATACATTCATTTTTTGTGGAAATATAACAAAATTTATATCTCAAAGCAGGAGCAGCTACCAACATATCAGGAGCATACTATCAATACTAAAGGACCTGTGCTTCAGGTGCTCCAACACTGGTGTGTAAGCATAAAACAAATCAAAACCAAACAAGGATAAAATGAAACCCTTAAAGTATTGATAGATCTGTCTGCCTATTATAGTTATAATAACTACTAACAAATGGGTAAAAACATTCTAAACATAGGTACCTAGGTTACTTAGGATTGAATTTGAATTTGGATGAAAACAAATATAAGCTGTCAGCTTTCAGGATAAACAGATCCAAATGAAATTTAATATTGAGAGATCAAGAGGTCATCTGTCAATTTAACTTTTTTTCAAACTTTGTAAACAATTGCCAAGCTTAGGGGTCCAAACTGGTACAGATAACAATTGTCTACTTTCAAATGTAACTAAATAGTGTATCTTCATTGTGTATTCATTGTATGGATTTGAAGAGTATGTATATTAGGATTCTAAATTGAAATAAGTTCATCTACACTAAACACATTTGTTAAATTTCACAAATGCATGCATGTTGATCAGATTGCAATGAAAGTTTTTAAGGTTGTATTTCAGTACATAAAAAAATAATAACTTACTTTAATAATTTCTTTTTCTGTTTCTTTGTTAATTGACTGATTAAGTCAAGTTCTGTGAGGTTGGAAGTGTCATTTTCCTCTATTTTGTTGGCAGCCAATGGCATAGCTCCAGGCTTCATTACAAGTCCAGTATCACGCATCTGCTGCATAAGGGTAGGCACATCAGGCTTGGTGTCTTCTTCTTCCGGGGCTGATGATGAGGCTTGCAAAGCTCTTGCTTCACTCATAGATAACGAATACATAGAGCATTCTTTGTCTGAAAGAGAAAAAATATATTGATAATACATGAACTGCATAAAATATTAACTGGCATTACAGTCCTCATGTTTTTTAAAAATAACAAACCTGTATTAATATGACCCCATTTATGACATTTTATGCATCTAACATTTCGCACAAGTATGCCAAATGGCTGGTCTCTGATTTCATTATCACCTTTACAGTAACTTTCTCTTGGCGCATTGTATTTTCGTTGCCACTCAAATTTATATTCAGGTTCATTGTCTTCACGTTCACGTTCTTTTTTAACACCTGGTGGAGGCTCATACATAAAATTTAAGCTTAGTTTATCTTTACTCTCCTTACTCAATAAAGCTCTGTAAAAAACACCAAGTTATTAAAAATGACTACTAACATATCACAATCAATACATTACAAGTAAATCAACCTACTTATTTTCATGTAATTCTTGTTCTTTTTCATATTGCACTCTTAATTCTTCTTGCTTCTTTTTATATGCGTCTGTTTTTTGCTCTGCCATCCATACCTAAAAGTAAAATAAATTTCAAGGTTTTTCCTGCATTTTCATAAATTATGTATGTATATAAATATGATATCTTATTGTAAGGTTTACCCTTTTCAGATTATCCCTAGATGCAGGATGGAAGAATTTTTTACACATGTAATTATTAAATCCTTTGCCCATTTTGATTCCCGTACACTTCTGCCAAAAACTTTAATAAAATGGGTTACAAAAAGAAATTATTCGATCACAGATCACAGAATTTATTATTCCATAAAGATAATTGATTGGATAACTTCGTTTTGAAACGTAGGTAGTGATTTTTACTCACATCACAAATATATGTCAAAGAGTAAAGTAAATAGTAGAGACGTGTAAGTACTGTGAGTAATGCATAACGCGATATAACTAGGGATTGTTATACGAGTAAATACAAGTACTTACTCGATTATTTTTTCTTACCTTCGATCTAAGTACTTTTGAGATTGATACTTTAGAACAGAGGAACAAGTAGTATCGTAAAGTTAGTATTTGTACCGATACTTGATTTGTCACTTACTGAGGAGTATCAAAAATTCGCTTGGATAAGACTGTTTACTTTGTGGTAAGCTGTTAATGTCTGTCTCATGAAAAAATCATACAGGTACAGGGTCCCTCTCCCTGACGTATGACTAAACATTGCTAACCCCTACTTATTTTATATTGGTTGGTGATTCTTGAAAACTTGAACTTCCTGTTTACACATACGTCATTTTTTTAAATAAATCTGATAGATATATTTTTTTTAAATCGGTAACATCAGATTCTATATCCAACATCAAATCATATAAATTCTAAAATATTAGTTAAGATTCCTTATTTTTGAAGAATAATATTGACGGATGTTTCATAATGGAAGTACAAGTTTCCGAGAATCACCCAATTAGAGATTTATCTAGAGGTATTGGTAACAAAATTTTGAAGCAATACTTAACTTAAAACTATATTCATTACTACATTCATACATGGATCTGCTTCTCTTTCTTACTATCAGTAGTATCTGCTCTAAAAATCTTTCGAAATTACAATGATGATGATGCATTTAATATACGATATCCATATTTTTCATTCGATACCGATTGGTATCGATACCTAGTTGGTATCCTTGCATCCCTAAATTAACACGACCGCGTACTGTTACAGTACGTATAACGCCTGCTCCACACGTTGGCCCATATATAGTTCCCAACGCTACTCGTCCAACGTGTGGATCTAGAAAATGGCATTGGTTCCAACGTTGGGGCGAGCGATGGTAGTTGGCCGGCTCGTGTCGGTTTCATCAAGGAAATTTGTGCCAACACACGTTGGCGCTTTGCACTAGGGATGGATATGTTTATATATAGATATTTTCGACGTATTAAGCGATTATCAATGATAATTTCAAATTTTCGAAATTTTGACGCAACTACACACCTGGCTGCTTTGATATCAGTTTTATTATTTAAGCTCAATTCTGCGCTCCGCTTTTTGTTCTTAATTCCAAATCTAAATTCGGATGAAAGTTACGAGCAACCAAAAAGTTGAATTGAATTGAAAATTGTTCCTTTACACGTAACGTAATAAACACAAAACGATGTCATATTTATTAATTTTCAATACTCAGTTTACTTTTATTACATTAGAAACAAAATTTGAATAAATATCATAAACAAAATCCAAACATCGCTAGTGACATCTAATATGATTTCAATAACTAATTTATATTTTTTAATTACTTCCTCATTGCATTAAGTTTTAACCAAAATAAAATAAAAAAATTACAGCACATTAAGCTTTTATTGGAATTTATATATCATTTGTTTATTTTACAGCATATTTATACAGGGAGTCCCAAAACGATCAACACAGCTTAAAGTTTCAAGTTAGGTAGCATGCAAATGTTCATTTTATTTAACAAATATTTAAAAATAGATAAGACGAAAAACTGGTGTTAAAAAAATAAAATTTAAGTGTTGACAGCCCTTTAATGCAACACGCTCACGCGTTAGCGTACACAGAGTTATACTATGCCTACACGTAATGTCGATGTGTGCAGATTACAACCGGCTATTTAATAAGAACTAAGTTTAATGATAATAATTAGGTTTAATTTAATTACTTACCTAGAGTCGATGCTCAAAATGTCCACCTCCTCTCTGCAGATAGATTGGAGCATGCTCTTTTGTATGCCGGAGCACGCGCAAAATTACATAATTTTCCAGAATTTGCCAGCGGAGCTCTTCAAATGCTCCCACCAGGCGGTTCACATCGTGATAAACGCAATCTTTTAAAGTGCCCCATAAAAAATGTCCAGAGGCGTGAGGTCAGGTGAGCGTGCTGGCCAGCGATGTGGTCCGTACTGGCCGATGCATTGGTCTCCAAACATTTCGTTTAGTACCTCGCGCACCTCCACCACAGAATGTGCTGGAGCCGCTTGAGCAGGTACACGCCTAGATCGCCCGCCTCGCTGGTCATCCATGGAAGTACGTGGGACGATTGGACGATTTTCTCTTAGCCTATAAAGTGCACTTGTAACAACGCGAGGGTTTGTAGGGTGTGGTCGAGGTAAGCGTTCCTGTTACAAACGTAAAGCTGCCCTTGCGTTATAGCCGCACTCTGTGTATAATAACACAATGTTCAAATAATCTCTTGCTTCTAAAGGCATTTTCAACTTAATTAAAATAAACTAACTAGGCTTCACTAAACTAAACACACACACACTAAGAACTAGTTAACTTAAAACTAAATATACTAAAATTACAACAGAAAAATGGGCGGAAAAGTCGCTTCGCAGCGTTACGGTAGCAGCGATGCAGTAACGTATCAAACGCTCAAACGTCCAGCGGCGACTAAAAAAACCTGATCAAGGCTCCGACGCCGACGGGACAAAAAACGCCACCCGTCGAGATCTGTGATTGGCTGGCGTACAGCAAGTAGATGGGGACCGGCTATTTTTTTTCGTTTAACTGGTTTTTTCCATTAACTAATAACCAGGGACGAATTCACTTCATCTTCTCGAATTCGTATTTTGTTATTACACAATTGTTTTTGATTTTCTTTTTAAATACATTCTAAATAAGTAACCAAACCCTTACTTAGTATTTTAACATAAAGTACATTTGTGATAATGGTTCATTATTATCACAAATGTAATTTATGTTAATGGATGATGTATTAGTTAACTACCGATTAAAACTTATTCCTTAGTACGTCCCAAAAACAACTGAGTAAGGGTTGAAACTATTTTACCTAGACATATATATTTTTTATATCATATTATAGACAAATAGTACTCTCCAGAAACCTCGGGAGTGTCGGTCGTTCTGTTCCACCGTGTATATATTCAGCAGCCTCACCGATTTTCGTATTAGGGAGGGGCAAATAGGCAAAATATCGATATTTTTCGAATGTATCGATTTTATATTAAATAAAAATATATATAATCATCGTCAAAATATTCGAAATTTTAAAGTAACTACACATCTGGCCTACCTAATCTTTTCCTAAATTTACGCATGAGCATAGTACTAATAGAGTATTTGACGCTTTTCTGAATACTATTTTAAATGGTTGTTCAATATATTAAACAACCTGTCAACACACTGTCAACATATTTCATATGCACTGGAAAGCAAACACGTAGTGACCTGCAAAACCGAAATAGATATTTAAAGTGGAAAATCTTTATATTTTTCCAATAAAATATCTTATTTCCGTATATATAATTAATTATTATTCCGTATATTCCGTATAAATTAACTAAGGAACACCTTATTTGTTACCATGGACGTTTATATGATTTATTTATCGAAATAAACAAAAGTTTTTCTGCTCTTAAGAACAATTTTGGTTTTGCGGGTTACTACGTGTTTGCTTTCCAGCGTCGATGTGGTATTTGTGACGTAACATGCGGGCACATATGTCAAGACGACATAACCTATTTATCAACTATAAACAAATAGTATTACAAAAGAGATATTGAAGTTAAATTTTACGATTTGTATTTGTATCCACTCTGGTTTTGTTTACAAATTATATCTATAAATACAAATTTTGCGTATCTTTAATAACACTGTTTTGACATGACAGCTTCCTGTTTTTCGTGTGACGTCACATGCTGGTATTATCATATTACATGGTACAGCAAACGGCGGACTTAATGACAAAGGCATTCTCTACCAGTCTACCAGACATAAAGTAGGAAGTAAAATGTATGGATATAAAGAAAGTAGAAGTACAAAACAAAAAATAAAAAACACTTATACCTTAAATAATAAACAAATAATATTGATATACAGGAATATTTTTTTTCCAGTGTGTAAATTTTTTTTGGTGATTTAGTATCAGTATAAGAACACTTTTCATAATTAGTTTTTTTTTTTTTTTATGAAATTTCAATTGGGTTTATTTTGGAAACTTGATGAGTCTGCTTTAAATCCCCCTGATGAGGGGGGATTGTACCAACTTCTATTAAGTAGAAGAGGCGCTGGTGATGGGTGGGGATGAGCGGAGGGGGTGGGCTTCGCCCGGGAGCTTCTTGTTGGTCCACGAGCCCCCTCCATAGGGGTAGAGAGAAGGAAAAAGGGGATAGGGGGTGATGAGAAAGTGAGAACAGGGGTCGAAGAATGGTGAAGTAAGAATGGTGATTGTGAGGTGAGTAGAGAACCCCTGTTCCCGGATAGGAATGAATGATAAGCGAGTTTGTTGATGGATGTGTGTGGATGTGATAGAAAATGAAAATGATCAGAGGGTGCCAGAGTGGGGTGAGTTGAAACCGCCCCGCCGCTCCGCGATCACATCACCCGATGACGAGGGCCATGACGAGGGCCATGATCGCGAGGCGCCGGGGCGACTGAGGCACCCTGTGTAGTGCGACTCTCGAATGTGACTGGTGTTAAGGTTGGTGCTACTGGAACTGCGAGAGTCGTCTTAAGCTGCCCCTGTCCTGCGGGACCCCTGGAAAGGGAAAGAAAGAAGAACAGGTGGCGAGCTGCCGTATTGCTTTGTGCGACTACTGTGCTGGCCCGCGGTCCCCGTTCCGATGATGATGAGCTGGAATTGTTTAAAATTTCCATGAGGTGCAGGGCCACAGGCTGTCCCGTTGGGCTTTGGCAGCTCCGGAGAGTCAGATGGTTATTCATTCCCCGCGGCTGTACCTGGCTGAAAAGGACTTGGAGCGCCCATTCCCATAACAGGGGGGTGCACCAGTGTCAGAGAGACTAAGATGGAACCGTCCGATGCCTCTGATGCGGGATCAGTCCTTCAACTCTGCGGTTGAGCCAGCTATGGGGGGAATGAGAAGACAGGAGTCGTGCTGTTCACGTTCACGAGCCGGGCCTGCAGAGTATT